TAACCAGTTATTATGTAGTACTTACCCTATGCCAGGCACTAGTCTGAACATTGTACATGTTAATTGCACTCATTTAATCCTTATAACAACTCTGTGAGGTAAGTATTATTCCTATTCCCAGTTTACAGATGAGTGCACTGAAACACAGAGCAGTGATTTTTCCCACAGTAATTTTAATATGTGCAGTAAAAATAGAAAGAAATGCAACAGAAATATTAGCCCAAAGTCAGGTTTGTGGTTATTTCTGAAGAGAGGGATAGAACTAGAGGTCCATCAAGAGTTCTGAAAACATCCTCTTTCCTTACATGTATGATGGTATATTAGTCTATTCTCACACAGCTATAAGGAAATACCTGAGGGCTGGGTACAGAGGCTTATACCGGTAATCCCAGCACTTTGGGAGGCCAAGACGATGGATCACTTGAGGCCAAGAGTTCAAGACCAGCCTAGCCAATTTGGCAAAACGCCATCTTTACCAAAAACACAAAAAATTGGATGGGCACAGCGGCGGGTACCTATGGTCCCGGCTCCGAGGGAGGCTGAAGAATGAAAATTGCTTGAACCTAAGAAGCAGAGGTTGCAGTGAGCTGAGATTTAGCCACTGCCCTCCAGCCTGAGTGACACAGAAAGACTGTCCAAACAAACAAAAAAGAAAGAAGAAATTGGGTAATTTGTAAAGAAAAGAGGTCTAACTAACTCATGGTTCCACAGGCTGTACAGGAAGCATGGCTAAGGAGGCCTCAGGAAACTTATGATCACAGTGGGAGGCAAAGGGGAAGTACGTACGCGTTAGGTGGCTGGAGCAACAGGAAGAGCTGGGGGGTGGGGAGAGGTGCCACACACTTTTGAACAACCAGATCTCGTGAGAACTCTGTATCATGAGAAAAGCAAGGGGGGATATCTGCCCCCATGATCCAATCATCTTCCACCAGGCCCCATCTCCAGCCTTGGGGATTACAATTTGACATGAGATTTTGGCAGGGACACAAACCTACACCGTATCACATGGGTACATAAGTGTTCATTTTGTTACCATTCTTTAAGCATGTGTTATATACTCTTTTTGTGTATGATATATTTCATAATAACAATTATTAAGAAAGAAATGCACTGGCATAAGATTAAAAGGTGCAAGTGCGCTTATTTCAACTAAAGAGAGTTTATTACAAATAGTTTATTAAAAAGCTAAACAAGAAAAAGCCATAAAAAGGAGATAAATACTTTGAATTGATAGAAATATTGTTATATATACTAAAGAAGATTTCTACTTGACTGTCCAGTTCAATCTAGTATGAAAGGCTTACAATTATAAATAGATCAGCAACAGAAACCTATAATTAAATGAAAGACAGAGCAGCAGCTTTGGAAAGAGATACATCAAAATGTTTTCTCATGCTGAGATGGAAGGGTTGTGATAATAATGGCAGGATTGTGAGTGATTTCCTCCCTTACTTTTTAAAATTATAGACAGACTCTGGAGTTAGACATGACCTTGAATTGAGCATCCATAATTCATTGGTCATGAGACCTTAGAAAGTTTGCTTAATCTCTGAGCTTTAAATTCCTCCCATGTAAAATGAAGATAGAGCCTCAAAAGTGTGCTGTGAGGTTTTAATGAGATAATCTGTATTAATCGCAGAGCACCTAGCTTGTAGTAAGTTAACAAAATTTGGTATAGTTACTTCATTGCCCCCTTTTATTCACCTTCACCACATTTATTTTGGGGTATCCTCTCTTTCTCAGGAATTGAGCCATCATGATAGGAGACCATAGCTCAAGATAGGGTAATAAGACTGAATGCTAAAATTTTAGATGGAGTTACTGGAAAGAGGCGCCATCTTTTCTCTGACATTACCAGCTCCAAAGATGTAAGCTAGAGCCTAGGCAACCAGCATCTTTGGAACCACAAAAGTAGAAGTGGTTCCAGCTGCCTGAAAATAAAATTAACTCAGGAGGAGATGGGAGCAGGGAGAGAAAGAAAAAGAGAGACAGACAGATGTTGAAACATTGAATGCTGAAGACAACATGGAAACCCTAGAACCCAGCCACAACTAAACAGATCCACACTTAACTTTTCTGTAAAGAAATTTTTTGCATAAATTATGTTTCTATCACTAGAAATCCAAAAATCCTAGCTAATAAATGAGTTAGTGTATAAAATACAGTTAGAGCAATATAAATCAGGTATTATACTAATACATTGTTCTTTTTTCCTACACTGTTTAGTTAGCGTGTGTTTTTATTGCTTATTTGCTTATTATTTTTCTATTTTTACCTATGTAGATTTCTTTCCAAGTTTTTTTAAATTATTGCATGTGTTTATTGTCTATGTGTTTTTTTGTTCTCTCTGAAATGTTTGCCAATATACTTGAATATTTTAATTATCCAATTTAGAACTTTACCAGCAGATAACTGCAGCCCCAACTGACGGCCTGACTTATCTCATCCCAGTAAGTCCCTCCCAGATTCCTGACCCTCAGAAACTGAAATAAATGCATGTTTGTTGTTTTAAAGCTGCTAAACTTTAGGGAATTATGTTACGCTGCAATAGACAACCAACACAATCTCTTTTCATAAGTTTTATATTTAACCAATGGTCATATTCACTTTCAAGCAGAAAACTTTCCTCAAATGAAGTTTCTTTTTCTTTGTTCCTTTGAACATGTTGCCTTTGTTGTTTTTTCCCTCAGAAACTGTGATTCCCAAAGAATTGGGATCTCTAAGACCTGTCATCCAATTATTAGCTCATCAGTTTAAGGATTTTATTCTTATGCTTTTGAAACAGTCCTTAAAAATTTGTCCTCTACTATATGAATTACCTTTTCCATGGTTGCAAGTTTGCTATTTGCTGCCTGAAACCTGGTATCATTATGCTGTTATAGATTTATTACAGTCTTTTCTTGTCTTTGATTTTTCACACATTTTTTCATAACAGCCTACTCTTGTTTCTCTGAGGAAAAGTCGCCTGACATATTTTTGAACAATTGCAGCTGATATTTTTTCTAAAACTGGCATCTGTTTCTTATAGTAAATCTATTTTAGGTGCAGGCCATTTTCCTGAATCATCAGGACCAAATAGTTTAGTGGTGGATATGGTTTGGCTCTGTCCCCACCCGAATCCAAATCTCATCTTGAATTGTAGTGCCCATAATTCCCACATGGGAGAGAAACCCATTGGGAGAAAACTGAATTATGGGACAGTTTCCCCCATACTGTTCTCATGGTAGTGAATAAGTCTCATGAGATCTAATGGTTTTGTAAGGGGAAACCCCTTTCACTTGGCTCTCACTTCTCTCTTGCCGACCCCATGTAACACATGCCCTCTGATGTGATTGTGAGTCCTCCCCAGCCACATGGAACTGTGAGTCCATTAAACCTATTTTCTTCATAAATTACCCAGTCTCAGATATGTCTTTATCAGCAGCGTGAAATGGACTAATACAGTGGTTAAGCCTACAGATCAGGAATCATTCTGCCCAGGTTTATATCCCAACCTCCAGGACCTTGGAAAAGCTTCTTTTTTTTTTTTTTTTTTTTTTTTTTTTTGAGACGGAGTTTCGCTCTTGTTACCCAGGCTGGAGTGCAATGGCGCGATCTCGGCTCACCGCAACCTCCGCCCCCTGGGTTCAGGCAATTCTCCTGCCTCAGCCTCCTGAGTAGCTGGGATTACAGGCACACGCCACTGTGCCCAGCTAATTTTTTGTAATTTTAAGTAGAGACGGGGTTTCACCATGTTGACCAGGATGGTCTCGATCTCTTGACCTCGTGATCCACCTGCCTCGGCCTCCCAAAGTGCTGGGATTACAGGCTTGAGGAAAAGCTTCTTAAACTCTGTGTTTCAGTTTTCTATCTGAAACATTGGGGTGAGAGTAGTACCTGCCTCTTAGAGTCACTAGGCTAAAACATGTAAAGTGCTTAGAACCACTTCAATACCTGTGTGTGTGCTCGAAAATATTAGTCATTATTACCAAGACAATGGCCAACTTGTGCTGCAGAATGTGATCATACCAGCCCACCCACTTCCCACTAGATTCTTCTCTCTTTACTCATCTTCTCATGGTCCTGGTATAGAAGGAAAATCAAGATGCCAAGTTTACTCTGGGCTCAGTAACAGACTGGTATGAGGCCCTATCTTAAGAAATGGTTAAAAGCCAAGGTTGCCTCTCCCCCTAGTTAATACTAAGATTTTTATAAAACGAAAGATAATTATTTAAAACTTAATGCCAGGTTTCATAGCTTACACCTGTAATCCCAGCACTTTGAGATGCTGAGGTAGGAGTATCACTTGAGCTCAGGAGTTCCATACCAACCTGAGCAATATAGTAAGACACCATCTCTACTAAAAATCAAAACAATTAGCCAGTGCACATGGTGGTGCATGCCTGTTGTCCCAGCTAATTGGGATGTAAGGTGGGAGGATCACTTGAGCCCAGGAGATCAAAGCTGCAGTGAGCTATGATCATGCCACTGCACTCTAGCCTGGGCAATAAAGTGAGACCCTGGTAAATAAATAAATAAAAGCAAATTACCTGCTAGGTATCAGGTGAGTATAGATTGGGGCTAGTATTACCATTGCTTACAATTTTCCCAGTATGGATAATGGAAGAATGGGTTCCTAGGGGAAGAATCCCTGGGTTTACATAGTAGAAAAAAAGCATACTCAAACCAGGTCCCTGCAGCATTGAATGGTACTTTTCACCAACAAACTCCTTTTCACTATCGCAAGAACCTCTAAGTCTCATTCCACCACAGCTTCGGACTCAAAGTCTAGGATCTTGTCATCTGTATTAGGTTTGGATGTGACTCTTAATTTGGAGAGTTATAAATTATCTACCTCCATATTCCTGAGACTCAGTGGAGAAATAGTATAATTGCAACAAGCCTTTCCTTTTGAAGTAGTGAAGAACTGCAGGCATGCAGCCATCATTAGTCCAAAACAATTGAAATATCCTCATCAAATGTTGTGAGGTCTTCCCGATTTGGGGGGTAAGCAATGTTACCTTAGTCGTTGTTCTGCTCCCTGGAGTAGCTCCTTATACACCACTCTCCATACCTCTTGGCTTCGCCCTCTGTGATGTCCTTTTTTCTCCTCATCACTTCTGTGGATGTGTCTGCAGAGGACATTAGAAAATACTCACATTTTACTAGCTTACCAAATTTCACAGCCTGTGTCTTGTCTGTGGAAAGTTTGGATGAGGTGAGCATATTTTGCATGTGGGAAAAATGCAAATCATTGTGGCCAAGAAGACAGACTGGTAGATTTCATTATCACCTCAATTCTTCATCCTTTCCTGCACACAAACTTTTGGCCATGTGATTTTTCAGTCCAGTAGGCCGGGCATAGTGGCTCACACCTGTAATCCCAATATTATGGAAAGCCGAAGCAGGAAGATTGCTTAAGGCTAGGAATCTGAGGCTAGCCTGGGCAACACAGTAAAACCTCTCTACCAAAATTCTTAATTAAGCCAGCCATGGCAGTGCTTGCCTCCAGTCAGTTATTCAGCAGACTGAGATGGGAGAACAACTTGAGCCCAGGAGTCTGAGGCTGCAGTAAGCTACGATAGCACCACTGCATTCCAGTCCAAGCAACAGAGCCAGACTCTATCTCTAAATAAATAAAAGCATTTTTCCACCCCTTGACTTGGGGCTTTGCCATGTGGTTTGCTTTGGCCAATGGGATGTTGGTAGGTAAGTGACAGGCAAGGGCTTGCCCTGGGCAGTGGTGACTGCCTTCACCATTAGAAGAATATGCCTGGGCTAACCCGCTGGACCCAAGAGAAGGATGAGAGACATCTGGAGTAGTAGAGCTGTCCCAGCTGCCTAAGCCTGAAGCAGAGTGAGTAGCAGGCCAGCCTACATCAGCTGAACCCCAGCTGATTCACAGGCTCATGAAGGCTAATAAATCATTGTTGTCTCAAGCCACTGTGTTGTGAAGTAGTTATTATGCAACAATGTCAAACCAATATACTTGGAAATATAAGGCATTTGCACAAAAGCCTTATGTGGCATTATAAGCTAAACTGTGCCCCTCGAAATTGATATGATGAAGCCCTAACCCCCTGAAAAAGATTCTGTGTTGACCAAAACTTAACCAAGCTTTTAAACTTATCTACTAAGTTCACCTGTGCCACTCCCCTGTAAAGCCCAGTTTTAGCAAAGAACCCTGCTAAATCAGTGTGTTAGTCCATCCTCACACCACTATTCCCTGAGACTGAGAAATTTATAAAGAAAAGAGGTTTAATTGACTCACAGTTCCACATGGCTGGGGAGGCCTCAGGAAACTTACACTCATGGCAGAAGGCAAAGGGGAAGCAAGACACCTCCTTCACAAGGCAGCAGGAAGAAGAAGTGCCAAGTGAAGTGGGAAGAGCCCTTATCAAACCATCAGATCTCGTGAGAACTCACTCACTATCACGAGAACAGCATAAGGGAAACCCTCCCCCATGATTCAATTACCTCCACCTGGTCTCTCCCTTGACCTGTGGGGACTATGGAGATTATCGGGATTACAATTCAAGATGAGATCTGGGTGGGGACAGAAAGCCTAACCACATCAGTGTAGCAAGAACTCCCCCATCCTCAACATCAGATTGTTTGTGACATCTGATCAGGTTCCTCATCCCCCAGGTGATATGTGATGATCCTGGCCTGTCTTCAGCTAGAATCCTGTTAAGTGGGTTTAGCCACAATCCCACTTACCTCTGATGTTTCCTCTTAGTAATTTCCCATCCACCAACACCCACCCTGCTCCTTGACTATAAAGTTCCACTTGCCCATGATGTATTCAAAGTTGATCCCAATCTCTCGCCTTCATTGCAAGATCCATTGCAGTGGTCTCTATAGCCATCTCAATGGCCCTGAATAAAGTCTTCCTTATTGTGCTTTAACAAATATCATTGAATAATTCCTTAACACCCCAATGTGACTGTATTTGGAGACAGGGCCTTTCAGGAGGTAACTGAAGTTAAATGAGATTGGTTTTAAGATGGAATCCTAATTCAATAGGACTGTTTCCTTGTAAGTAGAGGAAGAAATTGCTCTCTCAACAAGAACACGTGTGGAAGAGCCATAAGGACACTGCAGAAGGCAGCCAACCTAGAGGTGAGGACAGCAGTCATAGCAGAAGCATTTGTTGAGTGCATATCATTGGTCAGGCACCATGCTAAGAATTTTACACTTATCAGTCTCTCTTGTCTTAGTGAAAGTCCTCCCTCTCCCTGGTATCAACATCTCCCTTCCTGTTCTTGGAGGCAGAATGTGTCACCTTTGTTTCCAAATAGGTGGTTCTCAGTTGGGAACCAAGGGCCTGATGTGAACAAGACATAGGTGTGGGGGGCAGATTGGGAAACGTGCTGTGTGCTATGTCCCCTGCTGACCCCAGAGTGTCATACTAATGTTAATAGCAGCCTGGAATAGAGGGGGATAGGAAATGAAATGCTAGAAAGAAAATGAATATTACTATTTTGTGAGGATGCTGATGGGAGTATGGATGAGATCAATGATACTGGAAACCTAACACAGAGTCTCTTACACAGCACATATCCAGTAGATATTTATATCCAATAAACATTGGTTACATGCATGCATGAATGAATAATTTAATTTTTTTTAATTTTCCAACATAAGTTGATATTCTCCCTACTTGCTACAGTCAGAGCCACTAGCACAAAAATTTTAGTACTGTAGCCCAGAGGTAGTATTTACTGAAGGAATTTTAATTTTTAAAGCTATTTAAATAGCATATTTTAATATTAAAAATAGCCATATAACTATTTCCATTATATATTCCTGACTTTATAAATTGAAATTTGTAAATAATGGTTTTAGCTACCTATGTTTTGTATTAAGAGTATCTGCTATGTACTAAGGTTCAATCAGGCCAATTGTCTTTTTTTCCCCAGAGAACTCCCATGGACTAATTCAAAGATCCTGAGTCGAACAATTACAGCGTTGTCCTCTTGACTCTTAACTAAACTGGGGCTTAGAGAAGACCACCAGCAGGTGATCACCATGTTTCATTGATAGTTCAAGGAAACTTCATGTCCAACAGGAAGCCTTGAGGTGCTGACACCTATACAAGCCTTTTCCATGGGCTCAGGGCCTGAGATGATTTTCAGGTGAGCTCCTGGAGGGTCCTAGCTCACCACTAGCCAAATTTATCCTAAGCGGACAGACCTTTCTCTGTTTAACTCAGAGAAATAACCACACTCAGAAATGCTAGGTAAAAATGTACTATTTGTAGAAAACTATTTACTCAAAGGGCTTAACCCCTTCCACAGAAACCCTGAAGGTGTAATGTTGCAGCAGGTCTCCCCCATTGGAGCTTTTTTTTCTCAGCTCACTGCAACCTCCACTTCCCAGGCTCAAGTGATTCTCCTGCCTCAGCCTTCTGAGTAGCTGGAATTAGAGGCATCCACCACCACACCTGGCTAATTTTTATATCTTTAGTAGAGGCAAGGGTTTCACCATGTTGGCCAGGCTGGTCTGGAACTCCTGACCTCAGGTGATCTGCCCACCTCAGCCTCCAAAAGTGCTGGGATTACAGGTTTGAGCCACCTCACCCAGCTGGAGCATTTTTTGTAATAACAAACCAGGCTGCGTGCAGTGGCTCATGCCTGTAATCGCAGTGCTTTGGGAAGCTGAGGCAGGAGGATCACTTGAGGCCAGGTGTTTGAGATCAGCCTGAGCAACATAATAAAACCCCATCTCAACAAATATTTTAAAATTAGCTGGGTGCAGTGGCATGTGTCTGTAGTCTTAGCTACTAGGGAGACAGGGTGGGAAGATCATTTGAGCCCAGGAGTCAGGGTGCAGTGAGTCATGAACTCAACATTGCACTCTGGCCTGGGTGACAAAGCAGGACCCTGTCTCAAAAAAAAAAAGGAAAAAAGAAACAAGAAAACATTGTCTGAATAAACTATTTGAATAAACTATGATGCACCCATATAAAATAATTGAAAGAAAATGTTTGAAAGAGTAAGTTTGGTCCATATGCAATGATATGGGAATGTCTACAAAATATAAAATTAAACAGAAAAACAGAAAAGACAAGGTATAGAAGGGTTAATATTGATCGTGTGAGTATTTTTTCAAAGGATAAACATTTACAATGGTGAACTATTTGAATAGTGATGTAATCTTTGTTCTTGATATTTCCTGTTTCTCTGTGACCTTTCTGCCATTCCAGCGGCAGTCAGAATATTCTACCTGCACTGCCTCAGAGAAACACTACACAGAGAACAAAGATGTCAATTCCTGGCTTTGGAATTTTTAAACAGGCTATTGATTCTGCTGCCATAATAGCTTTGAGAGGTTTGAAAGCTAATGCTTTTGAGTTATAAGACTCAAAAGCCAGTTATAAGACTGGCTTTCAAAATGCACATAATTAATGCCACAAGCCATCGTGTTGGAAGAATGTGTGCTCAGTTGGACCCATTTTTGCTCACTCTCAGACTAAAAGAGATTCCATGGACCAGGAAAGGGAATTGAGATAACTGCAACTGGGTCCCTAAGAAAGGGCCCTTTCCAACCAGCACCAGGGAAGGATATGGTAGAAACCCCAGAATCCCCAGACACACTGGGAGATCTGAGAGGAGAGAAGATACGGCCTCACTACAGGGAGGTGGCAAACATTCCAGAGTTCCTCATGTGCTGCAGGACATGGCAGCTGAAGAGCAGAGACAACCAAGTAGGGTGGCCCTGAGACATCGTACATTTGCCCTGTGCAACACACACTCAGGAATGGGCAGAATCATTCCTGAGGCACCCAGAAAGGTCCCAGAAGTAACTGAGAAGCCAGACCTCAGAGGCTTTGAAACCAGAATGAGAATCTGCAACAGCTGTCCACATGGGCCACTGGCTGGATACTCAATGGGGCAAGAGCCCCAAAATGCTGGGTGGCAATCAACACCAAGGAGCTCCTACACCTCATCTACTTCACACCTCACACCCCATCACCCTCCATCCATCACCCCTCAAAGCTCAATCACAACTCCAGGAAAGGGTCGGGGTAAGCCCTGAAATGTCTGTACTTAAGTTCACACCTCCCAATGGCAGCTTGAAAACAGAAGTAATTGTACTTGCTTCAGCAACACATATACTAAAATTGGAA